CTAGACTATAGACTAGACTATAGACTAGACTATAGACTAGACTATAGACTAGACTATAGACTAGACTATAGACTAGACTATAGACTAGACTATAGACTAGACTATAGACTAGACTATAGACTAGACTATAGACTAGACTATAGACTAGACTATAGACTAGACTATAGACTAGACTATAGACTAGACTATAGACTAGACTATAGACTAGACTATAGACTAGACTATAGACTAGACTATAGACTAGACTATAGACTAGACTATAGACTAGACTATAGACTAGACTATAGACTAGACTATAGACTAGACTATAGACTAGACTATAGACTAGACTATAGACTAGACTATAGACTAGACTATAGACTAGACTATAGACTAGACTATAGACTAGACTATAGACTAGACTATAGACTAGACTATAGACTAGACTATAGACTAGACTATAGACTAGACTATAGACTAGACTATAGACTAGACTATAGACTAGACTATAGACTAGACTATAGACTAGACTATAGACTAGACTATAGACTAGACTATAGACTAGACTATAGACTAGACTATAGACTAGACTATAGACTAGACTATAGACTAGACTATAGACTAGACTATAGACTAGACTATAGACTAGACTATAGACTAGACTATAGATAGACTATAGATAGACTATAGACTAGACTATAGACTAGACTATAGACTAGACTATAGACTAGACTATAGACTAGACTATAGACTAGACTATAGACTAGACTATAGACTAGACTAGACTAGATAGACTAGACTATGGACTAGACTATAGACTAGACTATAGACTAGACTATAGACTAGACTAGACTAGACTATAGACTAGACTATAGACTAGACTATAGACTAGACTATAGAGACTATAGACTAGACTATAGACTAGACTATAGACTAGACTATAGACTAGACTATAGACTAGACTATAGACTAGACTATAGACTAGACTATAGACTAGACTATAGACTAGACTATAGACTAGACTATAGACTAGACTATAGACTAGACTATAGACTAGACTATAGACTAGACTATAGACTAGACTATAGACTAGACTATAGACTAGACTATAGACTAGACTATAGACTAGACTATAGACTAGACTATAGACTTAGACTATAGACTAGACTATAGACTAGACTATAGACTAGACTATAGACTAGACTGTAGACTAGACTGTAGACTAGACTATATACTACACTATAGACTAGACTATAGACTAGACTTGTAGACTAGACTATAGACTAGACTATAGACTGGACTATGACTAGACTAGTCTATAGACTAGACTATAGAGTAGACTACAGACTAGACTATTGTCTAGTTTAGTATTGAGGCGTACTCTATAGGCTAGTCTATAGTCTAGTTTATTGTCTAGTAGTGAGTGTAGTCTATACCCTAGAGTGTAGTCTAGTCTGTAATATAGTTTATGGTCTAGTCTGCGCCAAGTCCAGTTATATTACTTAACGTTTACCAACACTAAATTACCGCAAAAGCGAACAATTTCCTTTGTTATTTGTCTAATAATTTCTTATTAATAGTTTGTCCCTTTCATGCTTTCATATAAGTGTGATAATATATATCAGCCTACTCTTCTGTTATTCTAACTGTATGCATAAGAATTTCAAGATGTAAATAAAGACAACAATAATGAAATTTTACTCAAACAAATATTAAAACAAATACAAAGAGAGTTGTTAATGAAAAGAGAGAGAGCACGAATGAGCTGGTAAAAGAAATCTAAAATAAGAAGATATTTGTTGTTGTTGGTGTTTTTATCTCAAACAAGTTTTAGCAAAATTTTTGGATGGAAGAAAAAGCGCTCAGTTGCTGCGGAAATTTTAAAGCGTACGTTTGGTGTTTTTATGGTTCGTGTGTGTCCAATGAATGCTGGATATTTTACACACAGTGATTTTTTTTATATGGTGTTTTCTTTCAAAAATTGTGAGAATAAACAATTTAAGAAAAATAAAACGTGTGACGGTCGATTGTTGTTTATTAACAAATTTAAATAATAATACAATAATTTAAAGAATTGTGTGCTAAATTTTATTTTACTGCCTTTAAAATTGTTTAAAGCAATAAAAAAGAAGGTTGAGAAAAAAATATTTCATTTTACGAGGGAATTGAAGTAAAAAAAAAAAATTGTGTGAAATGAAAATAATAAGAAAAATTAAGTGATAATTGGAAATTATCATATTAATCTGAAAAAAATATATATTTTTATTGTTGTAGTTTTATTTTTATAATAGAAGTTCAACGCCATTAAAAAGGAAGAAAGGAAATTTTCTTTGTGTGTGTGGATTTATGAAAATAAAAAAGAATTACAAATTTCAATTGAAATATAAAAATTATATAGAAAAAATGTATAATAAAGTTTTCTAGTGTTTTTGTTAAATAAAAAAAAAAGATTTGTACAGAAATTTAAAATTTTTAATAAATATTAAGAAAAAATCTTAAAAATTCTTATAAAAATCTTAAGAAATATAATAATTAAAATTTTCACATTTGGCTGCTTTTTATGGTGGATTTTTTTTACTACTTTCCGGTCGAAATTTAAAGTAAGTCTATTTTTTTGTTATTTTTTGCTGCTTTTTATCATCTTTACATTTTAAGCATCTTGTTTTTAAACAATGTCAGTCTGTCATTTAACAGAAATCTTATTATTTTTTATTTACTGCTGTTTACCTTTTGTTAGTTTTTTTTCTTTATAAATTTTTGTTGTTTAGTTGATTTTGTTTATTTTGCATTTTTATTAGTTAATTTTAATTTGTTATGCGCTCTCTTTTTTCCTTCTTTACTTATCACTCAATTCTCTTTTCTGTCTTAAAAATAAAATCCCTTTCTTTGCTTAATTTTGATTGCAATATTTATCAACTTTGACTTAAAATTATTGAAAATTATTTTATTTTTGTTAAATTCTTTAATTTTTTGCTTAAACTATTTGTTTTTATTTAAAATTTTAAAAATTTTCTTTGTTAAACAAAGTCCGTCTTGGTTTTTCACTCATTTCTCTTCTCTTTTTTGTTTTCCTCTGCCAGAGTATGAGTGTTTTTTTTGTGTATTTATAGGTGCTTTTGTGTATTTGGCTTTTCCATGTTTTTGTTAGAGTTGCCTGAACAAATGCTAATTAAATTACACAATTTAATAGCAAATTACCAAATAGTTTTAGTTAAAATAAGAATTTTTTTTTTTAAATTAGTTTTAATTGTATTATTGCAAAGTGGAAAAGCCAAAATGCAACAAATATCCAAAAAAGTTACAGTTTGGATACCAATTGGAAATATTTATATCCTTTAACTTCGTTCTTGAGAAATATTGAACCTAGTGAGGTCTATAGTTTAGTCTACATTCTAGTCTATAATCTAGTCTATAGTCTAGTCTATAGCCTAGTCTATAAACTAGTCTATAATCTATTCTATAGTCTAGTCTATAGTCTACTCTAGTCTATAGTCTAGTCCATAGCCTAGTCTAGTCTATAGTCCAGTCTATAGTCTAGTCTCTAGTCTAGTCTATAGTCTAGCCTATAGTCTAGTCTATAGTCTATAGTCTAGAGTATAGTCTAGTCTATAGTCTAGTCTATAGTCTAGTCTATAGTCTAGTCTATAGTCTAGTCTATAGTCTAGTCTATAGTCTAGTCTATAGTCTAGTCTATAGTCTAGTCTATAGTCTAGTCTATAGTCTAGTCTATAGTCTAGTCTATAGTCTAGTCTATAGTCTAGTCTATAGTCTAGTCTATAGTCTAGTCTATAGTCTAGTCTATAGTCTAGTCTATAGTCTAGTCTATAGTCTAGTCTATAGTCTAGTCTATAGTCTAGTTTATAGTCTAGCCTATAGTCTAGTCTATAGTCTAGTCTATAGTCTATAGTCTAGAGTATAGTCTAGTCTATAGTCTAGTCTATAGTCTAGTCTATAGTCTAGTCTATAGTCTAGTCTATAGTCTAGTCTATAGTCTAGTCTAGTCTATCTCTAGTCTATAGTCTAGTCTATAGTCTAGTCTATAGTCTAGTCTATAGTCTAGTCTATAGTATAGTCTAGTCTATAGTCTAGTCTATAGTAGTCTATAGTCTAGTCTATAGTCTAGTCTATAGTCTAGTCCTATAGTCTAGTCTATAGTCTAGTCTATAGTCTAGTCTATAGTCTAGTCTATAGTCTAGTCTATAGTCTAGTCTATAGTCTAGTCTATAGTCTAGTCTATAGTCTAGTCTATAGTCTAGTCTATAGTCTAGTCTATAGTCTAGTCTATAGTCTAGTCTATAGTCTAGTCTATAGTCCTAGTCTATAGTCTAGTCTATAGTCTAGTCTATAGTCTAGTCTATAGTCTTAGTCTATAGTCTAGTCTATAGTCTAGTCTATAGTCTAGTCTATAGTCTAGGTCTATAGTCTAGTCTATAGTCTAGTCTATAGTCCTAGTCTATAGTCTAGTCTATAGTCTAGTCTATAGTCTAGTCTATAGTCTAGTCTATAGTCTAGTCTATAGTCTAGTCTATAGTCTAGTCTATAGTCTAGTCTATAGTCTAGTCTATAGTCTAGTCTATAGTCTAGTCTATAGTCTAGTCTATAGTCTAGTCTATAGTCTAGTCTATAGTCTAGTCTATAGTCTAGTCTATAGTCTAGTCTATAGTCTAGTCTATAGTCTAGTCTATAGTCTAGTCTATAGTCTAGTCTATAGTCTAGTCTATAGTCTAGTCTATAGTCTAGTCTATAGTCTAGTCTATAGTCTAGTCTATAGTCTAGTCTATAGTCTAGTCTATAGTCTAGTCTATAGTCTAGTCTATAGTCTAGTCTATAGTCTAGTCTATAGTCTATTCTATAGTCTAGTCTATAGTCTAGTCTATAGTCTAGTCTATAGTCTAGTCTATAGTCTAGTCTATAGTCTAGTCTATAGTCTAGTCTATAGTCTAGTCTATAGTCTAGTCTATAGTCTAGTCTATAGTCTAGTCTATAGTCTAGTCTATAGTCTAGTCTATAGTCTAGTCTAGTCTATATTCTAGTCTATAGTCTAGTCTATAGTCTAGTCTATAGTCTACTCTATAGTCTAGTCTATAGTCTAGTCTTTAGTCTAGTCTATAGTCTAGTCTATAGTCTAGTCTATAGTCTAGTCTATAATCTAGTCTATAGTCTAGTCTATAGTCTAGTCTTTAGTCTAGTCTATAGTCTAGTCTATAGTCTATTCTATAGTCTAGTCTATAGTCTATTCTATAGTCTAGTCTACAGTCAAGTCTATAGTCCAGTATATAGTCTGGTCTATAGTCGATGCCATGCACGTTACAGTGCCCTGGCAGACAACACAATCTAATGACAGTCTCATAATTTCCCTAAGTTCATTCCTACAATCTGCAACCAGGTGTGAATGTACCGTGTAACAAGCTAATGATCTGTGAGCAGCTTGGCTTTCAACATAAATAGTCACAACCGACCCCGAATCCGACAGCCTATCGGATAAAAACCAATCGTACCTAGTTGGAAAGAGTCGTAGTATCATAATCCGTAATTCCGTGAAGGGAATTACCCTGATCAAATAGACCTAAGTAGTAGTAACGAAGACTCATATAGTCTTAGTAGATTCCTAGCTACCAGACCCGCTACAAAATGTTCTATAGGTGACAGGTTCAGAATGATGTTCAAGGCCGCTTGTAGAGTACTTCTAATGGCACCAGTAATACCAAAACCTTTGAGCTTTATTGAGCATCTTTCTGTAACTGTTCTTTCTCAATGGCTCCTAGCAGACAATGCAAACGTAAGTTAGAATAGCCCTAACAACCGATGTGTAAACCTTACACCTTCAGATAAATAGTACCAGTTCCGTTTTACAAGGATTAACACCCAATCCCTTATCATTCGCCCATAATAATCGTGGATAGAAATCCATGTAAGTTTTAGACTATGGAATTCTCATAAACCAATTGCCAATTGGGATTCTTATTAAAAACAGCATGGCAACCTTATTAGATATGAGTGTGATTTCTTTTGCCAAACAGACAGTCGAAAGATATTTTTTTTAAACGTAAACAATTAGATGAATAAAATTATTAACAAATTACAGGTGATTTGGTTTATTATTTTCCAAGAATTAAAAAATTATTAATGTTACTTAATATTTTGCTTAATTTCGCAAAAAAAAACAGAAAACAAATACAATAAATGAAAAAAACACACACGACATGTTGAGTACATATAAACAAACATAAGAGAGAGTGAGTTTATTTTGCCGATTTGCTTTTGTTTTACACATTCTGCTCTTTTTTTTTTTATTAAAATCAATACAGAAACAAACTGTCAAACGATGAATATTTTGAACTCGTGTGTGCTCTTTTTAAAAGGTATAAGTAAATGTTGAGTAGATATTAGACAAACATAAGAGTAAAAGAGACAACTAGTGTTAAGTGAAATAATTTGGAAAGTAAAGAATATGAGAAAAATTTAATTTTTTTTTATGCATTCTTATTGAAATTTTCAGTTTGAACACAACTACGCTGGAAAAAAGCAACGAATTTTTAATTTATAATCAAAAAAAAAAATTTAATAGTTTTTTCTGTTAAAAAAGGAAAAAGAAATTTGTTCATACCAATTGTGGTGATTAGAAAAAAAGTGAAATTTAGTTTGTTTAACAAGTGAAAACGATTGCAAAAGTTCGAAAACTATGACAGCCGAAGTGGAAATTTACAATCAAAAGAAAGAAATCCATTTGCGTTCCCTTAAACAATCGGGACATGTGGGTTTTGATAGTCTGCCCGATCAGTTGGTGAATAAAAGTGTACAAAATGGTTTTGTGTTCAATGTCATGTGTATAGGCGAGACGGGCTTGGGTAAATCCACCTTAATGGACACTTTATTCAATACCAGCTTTGAGTCCACACCCAGTTCGCATACATTGCCAAATGTCAAATTGAAGGCACACACTTATGAATTGCAGGAGAGTAATGTACGTCTAAAGTTGACCATTTGCGATACAGTGGGCTATGGTGATCAAATCAACAAAGATGACTCATTCAAAGCTGTAGTGGATTATATTGATTCACAGTTTGAGGCTTATCTGCAAGAGGAGTTGAAAATTAAACGTTCACTAGTGGCTTGCCATGATTCACGTATACATGTGTGTTTGTATTTCATATGTCCCACCGGACATGGTCTCAAATCTTTGGATTTGGTGTGCATGAAGAAATTGGATAGTAAGGTTAATATTATACCCATTATAGCCAAGGCGGATACTATATCTAAAGCAGAATTGCAGAGATTTAAATCCAAGATAATGCAGGAATTGTCTAATAATGGAGTGCACATCTATCAATTTCCTACCGAGGATGAGACTGTAGCAGAAACTAATGCGGCCATGAATGATCATGTACCTTTTGCTGTAGTGGGTTCCACCGAGTTCATTAAGGTAGGCAATAAGCTCATAAGAGCCCGGCAATATCCCTGGGGTACTGTGCAAGTGGAAAATGAAACCCATTGCGATTTTGTTAAACTACGTGAAATGTTAATACGCACCAATATGGAGGATATGCGTGAGAAAACCCATACCAAACACTATGAACTATATCGCCAAAAACGTCTAGAAGAAATGGGTTTTTCGGATGTTGATTCTGACAATAAACCCATTTCTTTTCAACAAACTTTCGAAGCTAAACGTTCTAATCATTTGGCTGAACTGCAAGCTAAAGAAGAGGAAGTACGACAAATGTTTGTACAACGCGTCAAAGAAAAAGAAGCCGAACTTAAGGAATCCGAAAAGGAATTACATGCCAAATTTGAGAAACTTAAACGTGATCATGCTGAGGAAAAACGTAAACTGGAGGAGTCACGTAAAAAGCTAGAAGAGGAATTTATGGAATTCTCTAGACGTAAATCACAATTGGCCGCCTCACACCACACCCTTACATTGGGTAAAAGCAAAAAGAAGTAGACTATTTTTATAAGAAAATCAAATAACAAAAAAGCACAACTTTAAATAAAAAAAGAAATTCTTTTTTTTTTATTTTTTTTACAATTAAAAAAAATGCAATTATTTGCTTTCAACATGCAAAACACGTAAAAATGTAAAACAAACAACACCCCCCCCCGCCACTTAACAAACCTACACTACCCATAACAACATAACAGACCACTTACTAGTTATAACCTACTCATTTTTCACCTTCTTGAAAGAAATTTCTATTTCTTTACATTTCACATTTTCTAAATTAAAGAAAGACAGACATTTAATAGTAATGAAAAATAGTATTATTAACATTATTGTTGTTTTACACAAAACGAACATTTATATTTAATTACATACTTATTATTAACGAATTAATTATAATTTTATAAAATATTTTTTGTAAACATTTCTCTTATACTCTTTGTTTATTTTCAAAACTTTATTTCAATTTAAAGTTTTTTTAAATAATTTTTTTTAACAATAAAATTTTGACGAATTTTTTTAATACTTTTTTTTGGTTTTGAATTATCAGCATTTGCTGCTTAAAAGAAAAGTTATTTATATATAAAAAATAAGCGTATTATACTCCAAATTATTATTATGACTAAATATTATAAAATAAATACAATATTTAATAATAAAACAAAAAAAAAAAAAAAAAAAAAAAAAATGGTTGGAAGCAAGAATTTTATTTCACAAAGTTGGGAAATCAAAATTTAAAAAAATTTTAAACTGATGGAAAGATTTTGGATATGGGCAAATTTTTCTTCGAGGGATTGGGAAGAATCTTTCAGGTATTGTATGATATAAATACAGGTAAGTATAAAATAACCATTAAATCTTGGTGCCAAGAAATCAATATTTTGTTCTCAATAAAATAATTAAAGAAATTTATATATTTCTTTTAAAAGATTAGAAAATCTTTTAAAACATACAATTTTTTTATAAAACAATCAAAATTTTGTTCTCAATAAAAATACCTAAACATAGAAAAACTATATGAACATTAAAATATCATAATTTTTGTTAAATTTTATGGAAATTAATGAAATATTTTGGTAAAACAATTTATATTTTAGTAAAAATTTGGTATTTTTGGAAAAAAAAATTGGATTTTTAATGGAATTTTTTTATATTTTTTTTAAATGATTTTATGTAGAAATTAAAAAATTAGAAATAATATTTTGTAATTTTTTTTTTTTAAAGAAAAGTGATCTATTTTCAGCAAAAAAAAAAACAATTTTGACCAAAAGTATTATTTTTTTAGCACAAATTACTTTTTAAATTTTGGATTCTTTAGTTTTTTTTTTGTAAAATAAAATTTCTTGGTAAAAAATGATTTTCTGGTGAAAAGGAGATTTTTTTTTGTGAAAAATATTTTTTTTTTGGTAAAAAAATGATTTTCTTAGTCAAAAAGTGATTTTTTTTCTCAAAAAATTAAATTTTTTTAAAAGCGAAAAATTTAATTTTTGGTGAAGCATTTGTTGAAAGTTAACTTTTTGTTAAAAAATTCTTGGTAAAAAAGTGAAAGGTTTTTGTCAAAAAGTTTAATTCTGGATGAAAATTTAAAAAAGTGAATTTCAGATGAAAAATTTTACTTTTTGAAAATTTTTTTTACCGAAAATGTGATTTTTTGTTATAGTGACTTTTTTGTGAAAAGGTGGATACTTAGTGAAAAAGTGAATTTTTAGTGAAAAAAACCTTTTAGTGAAAAAGTGACTTTTTAGTGAAAAAGTGACTTTTTAGTGAAAAAGTGACTTTTTAGTGAAAAAAGTAACTTTTTAGTGAAAAAGCTACTTTTTAGTGAAAACAGAACTAGAACTGAACTAGAACTGAACTAGAACTGAACTAGAACTGAACTAGAACTGAACTAGAACTGAACTAGAACTGAACTAGAACTGAACTAGAACTGAACTAGAACTGAACTAGAACTGAACTAGAACTGAACTAGAACTGAACTAGAACTGAACTAAAACTGAACTAGAACTGAACTAGAACTGAACTAGAACTGAACTAGAACTGAACAAAAACTGAACTAGAACTGAACTAGAACTGAACTAGAACTGAACTAGAACTGAACAAGAACTGAACTAGAACTGAACTAGAACTGAACTAGAGCTGAACTAGAACTGAACTAGAACTGAACTAGAACAGAACTAGAACTGAACTAGAACTGAACTAGAACTGAACTAGAACTGAACTAGAACTGAACTAGAACTGAACTAGAACTGAACTAGAACTGAACTAGAACTGAACTAGAACTGAACAAAAACTGAACTAGAACTGAACTAGAACTGAACTAGAACTGAACTAGAACTGAACAAGAACTGAACTAGAACTGAACTAGAACTGAACTAGAACTGAACTAGAACTGAACTAGAACAGAACTAGAACAGAACTAGAACTGAACTAGAACTGAACTAGAACTGAACTAGAACGGAACTAGAACTGAACTAGAACTGAACTAGAAGTGAACTAGAACTGAACTAGAACAGAACTAGAACTGAACTAGAACTGAACTAGAACTGAACTAGAACTGAACTAGAACTGAACTAGAACTGAACTAGAACTGAACTAGAACTGAACTAGAACTGAACTAGAACTGAACTAGAACTGAACTAGAACTGAACTAGAACTGAACTAGAACTGAACTAGAACTGAACTAGAACTGAACTAGAACTGAACTAGAACTGAACTTGAACTGAACTAGAACTGAACTAGAACTGAACTAGAGCTGAACTAGAACTGAACTAGAACTGAACTAGAACAGAACTAGAACTGAACTAGAACTGAACTAGAACTGAACTAGAACTGAACTAGAACTGAACTAGAACTGAACTAGAACTGAACTAGAACTGAACTAGAACTGAACTAGAACTGAACTAGAACTGAACTAGAACTGAACTAGAACTGAACTAGAACTGAACTAGAACTGAACTAGAACAGAACTAGGACTGACTTTGTGAAGTGATTTTTTGTGAAAAAGTGACTTCTTTTAGTGAAATAGTGAATTTTTACTTAATAAGTTAGTTTTTACAAAGAAGTCACTTTTTACAAAAGTCACTTTTTACTAAAAAAGTGATTTTTTACAAGAAAAAGTGAATTTTTACCAAAAAGTGTTTTCTTACTTTTTACTAAAAAAAGTGATTTTTTTACTAAAACTACTACAATTATTCGAATTTAAAAATTTAAACTTTTTAAATAATTTCATGCAGTCAAGTTTTTTATTTCCAACAAACACTGTTCAAATTTCTATTAAAAATTAAACTATTTCCCACAAATTAATAAAATTACAATTGATTAAATTTCCTCATTTGCCCAATTCATAATTGGAGTCGTATGTCTTAATATTTTATTATTATTTTTTTTTTGTTTTACAACAAATCTATAATTGTGAATTGGACAACTATGTAATAAAGTTCCTATATTACCATACAAAGAGCAGAAAAATTACATTATCGAGGTAAAGTGGTTTCTCCAGCCAACTACAATTGTTGTAAAAAACAATACAATTTACCACGACAATTTAAAACTTTTAAAAATTTCCCAACCATTTTTTTTTTGACTTCTACACATTTAATGATAAAAGAAATCTTTTTATGTAAAAATTAACACAAAACCCTAAGATAAATTATTCTAAAAAACATTAACCCACAACAACCCCCGACATTTTCTCAAATCTTTGTACATAGTTCTTTTTGTTCCCCTTGTTAAAGACAAACACACAACATTTACAAAATGGTTTGTACCATTGGGAAAATTGTTCTTTCTTTTGTATTCATATTTTTGAAAATCAAACACTTGAGCAGAATTCATTGAGAATATTTCTGTTATTTTTTTTCTAAAAATTTTATTTATTTAAAGATAAGAATTATGAAAGTATGAGTTTATTTTGTAGTTCAAAATCATTAAGATCAATTGAAACTTAGAAAACCAGCATAATGGTTTTTGATTGTTTTGTATTCATGTTAGAGGTTGGTTGCTTGTTCAATTTTATATGTTGAACGATAAGGGAAGGGGTGTTATGTGCACATAGAGGAACTCTTTTTTTGTATTGGAAATTAAAAATTTTGTTTATTAATAAGAGGGGTTTTAAATAAAGAAAAATAATAGAAATTTATGTTTATGATATGACCTCAATATGGGAAATATATTAAATATATAAAGAGGACTCTTTATTGTTTAGCTTGAAGAATTTGAAAAGTTCGTAGTGAAAGATATATTATAGAAAGATGTTAGAACTAGAACAGAACTAGAAAAACCTAGAACAGAACTAGAACAGAACTAGAATAGAACTAGAACAGAACTACAAAAGAACTAGAACAGAACTAGAACAGAACTAGATCAGAACTAGAACAGAACTAGAACAGAACTAGAACAGAACTAGAACAGAACTAGAACAGAACTAGAACAGAACTAGAACAGAACTAGAACAGAACTAGAAACAGAATTAGAACAGAACTAGAACAGAACTAGAACAGAACTAGAACAGAACTAGAACAGAACTAGATCAGAACTAGAACAGAACTAGAACAGAATTAGAACTAGAACAGAACTAGAACAGAACAGAACAGAACTAGAACAGAACAGAACAGAACAGAACTAGAACAGAACAGAACAGAACTAGAACAGAACAGAACTAGAACAGAACTAGAACATAACAGAACTAGAACAGAACTAGAAAGAACTAGAACAGAACTAGAACAGAACTAGAACAGAACTAGAACAGAACTAGAACAGAACTAGAACAGAACTAGAACAGAACTAGAACAGAACTAGAACAGAACTAGAACAGAACTAGAACTAGAACAGAACTAGAACAGAACTAGAACAGAACTAGAACAGAACTAGAACAGAACTAGAACAGAACTAGAACAGAACTAGAACAGAACTAGAACAGAACTAGAACAGAACTAGAACAGAACTAGAACAGAACTAGAACAGAACTAGAACAGAACTAGAACAGAACTAGAACAGAACTAGAACAGAACTAGAACAGAACTAGAACAGAACTAGAACAGAACTAGAACAGAAGTAGAACAGAACTAGAACAGAACTAGAACAGAACTAGAACAGAACTAGAACAGAACTAGAACAGAACTAGAACAGAACTAGAACAGAACTAGAACAGAACTAGAACAGAACTAGAACAGAACTAGAACAGAACTAGAACAGAACTAGAACTAGAACAGAACTAGAACAGAACTAGATCAGAACTAGATCAGACTATCAGAACTTGAACAGAACTAGAACAGAACTAGAACAGAACTAGAACAGAACATGAACAACTAGATCAGAACTAGAACAGAATTAGAACAGAACTAGAACTAGAACAGAACAGAACAGAACAGAACAGAACAGACAGAACTAGAAACAGAACAGAACAGAACAGAACAGAACTAGAACAGAACAGAACAGAACAGAACTAGAACAGAACAGAACAGAACAGAACAGAACAGAACAGAACTAGAACAGAACAGAACAGAACAGAACAGAACAGAACTAGAACAGAACTAGAACAGAACAGAACTAGAACAGAACTAGAAACAGAACTAGAACAGAACTAGAACAGAACTAGAACAGAACTAGAACAGAACTAGAACAGAACTAGAACAGAACTAGACCAGAATAGAACAGAATTAGAACAGAACTAGAACAGAATTAGAACAGAACTAGAACTAGAACAGAACAAGAACAGAACAGAACAGAACAGAAACAGAACAGAACAGAACAGAACAGAAACGAACAGAACAGAACAGAACAGAACAGAACAGAACTAGAACAGAACAGAACTAGAACAGAACAGAACTAGAACAGAACAGAACTAGAACAGAACTAGAACAGAACTAGAACAGAACTAGAACAGAACTAGAAACAGAACTAGAACAGAACTAGAACAGAACTAGAACAGAACTAGAACAGAACTAGAACAGAACTAGAACAGAACTAGAACAGAACTAGAACAGACCTAGAACAGACTAGAACAGAACTAGAACAGAACTAGAACAGAACTAGAACAGAACTAGAACAGAACTAGAACAGAACTAGAACAGAACTAGAACAGAACTAGAACAGAACTAGAACAGAACTAGAACAGAACTAGAACAGAACTAGAACAGAACTAGAACAGAACTAGAACAGAACTAGAACAGAACTAGAACAGAACTAGAAAAGAACTAGAACAGAACTAGAACAGAACTAGACAGAACTAGAACAGAACTAGAACAGAACTAGAACAGAACTAGAACGGAACTAGAACAAACTAGAACAGAACTAGAACAGAACTAGAACAGAACAGAACTAGAACAGAACTAGAACAGAACTAGAACAGAAAAACAGAACAGAACAGAACAGAACTAGAACAGAACTAGAACAGAACTAGAACAGAACTAGAACAGAAACTAGAACAGAACTAGAACAGAACTAGAACAGAACTAGAACAGAACTAGAACAGAACTAGAACAGAACTAGAACAGAACTAGAACAGAACTAGAACAGAACTAGAACAGAACTAGAACAGAACTAGAACAGAACTAGAACAGAACTAGAACGAACTAAACAGAAACTAGAACTAGAACAGAACAGAACTAGAACAGAACTAGAACAGAACTAGAACAGAACAGAAAAGAACAGAACTAGAACAGAACTAGAACAGAACTAGAACAGAACTAGAACAGAACTAGAACAGAACTAGAACAGAACTAGAACAAACTAGAACAGAACTAGAACAGAACTAGAACAGAACTAGAACAGAACTAGAACAGAACTAGAACAGAACTAGAACAGAACTAGAACAGAACTAGAACAGAACTAGAACAGAACTAGAACAGAACTAGAACAGAACTAGAACAGAACTAGAACAGAACTAGAACAGAACTAGAACAGAACTAGAACAGAACTAGAACAGAACTAGAACAGAACTAGAACAAACTAGAACAGAACTAGAACAGAACTAGAACAGAACTAGAACAGAACTAGACAGAACTAGAACAGAACTAGAACAGAACTAGAACAGAACTAGACAGAACTAGAACAGAACTAGAACAGAACTAGAACAGAACAGAACTAGAACAGAACTAGAACAGAACAGAACTAGAACAGAACTAGAACAGAACTAGAACAGAACTAGAACAGAACTAGAACAGAACTAGAACAGAACTAGAACAGAACTAGAACAGAACTAGAACAGAACTAGAACAGAACTAGAACAGAACTAGAACAGAACTAGAACAGAACTAGAACAGAACTAGAACAGAACTAGAACAGAACTAGAACAGAACTAGAACAGAACTAGAACAGAACTAGAACAGAACTAGAACAGAACTAGAACAGAACTAGAACAGAACTAGAACAGAACTAGAACAGAACTAGAACAGAACTAGAACAGAACTAGAACAGAACTAGAACAGAACTAGAACAGAACTAGAACAGAACTAGAACAGAACTAGAACAGAACTAGAACAGAACTAGAACAGAACTAGAACAGAACTAGAACAGAACTAGAACAGAACTAGAACAGAACTAGAACAGAACTAGAACAACTAGAACAGAACTAGAACAGAACTAGAACAGAACTAGAACAGAACTAGAACCGAACTAAACAGAACTAGAATAGAACTAGAACAGAACAGAACTAAACAGAACTAGAACAGAACTAGAACAGAACTAGAACAGAACTAGAACAGAACTAGAACAGAACTAGAACAGAACTAGAACAGTACTAGAACAGAACTAGAACAGAACTAGAACAGAACTAGAACAGAACTGAAACAGAACTAGAACAGAACTAGAACAGAACTAGAACAGAACTAGAACAGAACTAGAACAGAACTAGAACAGAACTAGAACAGAACTAGAACAGAACTAGAACAGAACTAGAACAGAACTAGAACAGAACTAGAACAGAACTAGAACAGAACTAGAACAGAACTAGAACAGAACTAGAACAGAACTAGAACAGAACTAGAACAGAACTAGAACAGAACTAGAACAGAACTAGAACAGAACTAGAACAGAACTAGAACAGAACTAGAACAGAACTAGAACAGAACTAGAACAGAACTAGAACAGAACTAGAACAGAACTAGAACAGAACTAGAACAGAACTAGAACAGAACTAGAACAGAACTAGAACAGAACTAGAACAGAACTAGAACAGAACTAGAACTAGAACAGAACTAACAGAACTAGAATTTAACTGGAACTGAAACTAAACTTGAACTTTATAAGAATTGAGGTAGAGCTTTTGTTCTCGTTAGAAAATTTAGTTTTTTTTTGTTAAAATTTTATTTTAGCTTTTTAGTTGTGTTTTAAATTTGATATTATTTTTAATCTTTTTTTATAAATCTTTCTCTTTACAGATTTAAAAACCAAATTTTCGTAAAAATTCCAAACAAAAATGGCCACCTAAAAAATGAATTAAATAACAACTCCCTGCAAAACAAAAGCTTACAACAAAACCGCACAAAAAAAACCAACACAGTATTTTTTACTACAACAAAAATAGTGCATCGGGTTCCATTAGTGTTTGTTTATATAAACAATAGATACTAAACGCCAACAACCAACAAAAAAAAAAAAAAAAAAAAAAACTAAAAATCGTTAAAATAATTTTCAAATACAAATTTATTTCGGGTAACATTTGCCAGGCTGTTTTGTCAACCTATTGATTAAGATCTTTTTTTCTTCATTGCCAAATTCGGCCTAAATCTAAGCAGAAAACTGCATCTCCTGCTCAGTATTTTTTTTTTTTTTTGGCGTGTCCCCCAAAACTGATGAAACCATTTTAGGCCAGAAAACGATATCTAGAGAAAAAACGTAACAATTTCATAGATTAAAAATAGGAAAAAAAAAATACCAAACATTTTGCTGATGGAAAATCTCATTTAAAACAACTGCCAGTAGAACATACTAAATACAACAATAACGTAAAATCGTTGTTACGATTTAACTATTCCTCCGTTTAAACAACTAAAGCATTTAGAAAACAACTCCAAGCAGAGACGCAATTAACAAAAATAAAATCGAAACTAAAATTCCAACATCATCTGTAATCCATTCGGGTTCGTTATGCATCATTGTTTGTATTACAATTTCCAACAGTGGTAAAATTTTCCAAAACTACTACGGACAAACAGCACAAAAAAAAAAAAAAACAGCAAAAACAACACAATTGATGGATACAATTTTCCTGTAACCAAAAAATAGTTTGCACCACCACCGGCTAAACTAAAGCAACCACTTGCCACCCTAAAATCTAAACAATTTCCATTGTTGTTTGGCGGTGTTGTATTTGCTCCAATACTTCCTGTCGTTTTTTTTTTTCAAAACCACGGTCATCTCTAGAGAAAACAAATAAATATTTCGAATTATAATAAAAACAGTTTTGCCCAATAAAAAAAAAACTAAAATTTGTACATTTTTATCTTTGTTGCTTTGCGAGTGTGTAATAAATTTTGTTATCCTGTCAACATCCTGAACGAGTAATCATCATAATTGCCATCAAAATTTTTCGGCCATTACGAGACAAAGAATGTCATCAACAAAATGTGGCCTAAAAATGATTTTTATAGCGATCATTTTTGTCATCATCGTAAATGGTAAGTGGAAATATATTGAAATTTTTTATACATATTTAAATAATTAAGAAAATTATTAGATTTAAAACTGAAACAGTTCAATTCCCTTCTGACACACTGGTAAAGGCAGCAGCCCATAACAGGCCTAAGTGTATTTCTTTGGATACATACATCATCCTTCTTTTGAACTAACCAACTAACTAACTAGTTATGTTCAAGTTCTGCTCTAGTTCAGTTCTAGTTCAGTTCTATTTCAGTTCTAGTTCAGTTCTAGACTAGTTCAGTTCTAGTTCTGTTCTAGTTCTTTTCTAGTTCTTTTCTAGTTCTTTTTTAGTTCTTTTCTAGTTCTTTCTAGTTATTTCTAGTTCTGTTCTAGTTCTGTTCTAGTTCTGTTCTAGTTCTGTTCGTTCTAGTTCTGTTCTAGTTCTGTCTAGTTCTGTTCTAGTTCTGTTCTAGTTCTGTTCTAGTTCTGTTCTAGTTCTGTTCTAGTTCTGTTCTAGTTCTGTTTCTAGTTTCTAGTTCTGTTCTAGTTCTGTTCTAGTTCTGTTCTAGTCTGTCTAGTTCTGTTCTAGTTCTGTTCTAGTTAGTCTGTCTAGTTCTGTTCTGTTCTAGTTCTGTTCTAGTTCTGTTCTAGTTCTGTTCTAGTTCTGTTCTAGTTCTGTTCTAGTTCTGTTTCTAGTTCGTTCTAGTTTCTGTTCTAGTTCTGTTCTAGTTCTGTTCTAGTTCTGTTCTAGTTGCTGTTTCTAGTTCTGTTCTAGTTCTGTTCTAGTTCTGTCTGTTCTAGTTCATGTTCTGTTCTGTTTCTAGTTCAGTTGCTAGTTCTGTCTAGTTCTGTTCTAGTCTGTTCTAGTTCTGTTCTAGTTCATGTTCTAGTTCATGTTCTAGTTCTGTCTAGTGTTCTGTTCTATGTTCTGTTCTAGTTCTGTTCTAGTTCTAGTCTAGTTATGTTCTAGTTCATGTTCTAGTTCTGTTCTTAAGTCTGTTCTAGTTCTGTTCTAGTTCTGTTCTAGTTCCTGTTCTAGTTTCAGTTCTAGTTCTGTTCTAGTTCTGTTCTAGTTCTGTTCTAGTTCTGTTCTAGTTCTGTTCTAGTTCTGTTCTAGTTCTGTTCTAGTTCTGTTCTAGTTCTGTTCTAGTTCTGTTCTAGTTCTGTTCTAGTTCTGTTCTAGTTCTGTTCTAGTTCTGTTCTAGTTCTGTTCTAGTTCTGTTCTAGTTCTGTTCTAGTTCTGTTCTAGTTCTGTTCTAGTTCTGTTCTAGTTCTGTTCTAGTTCTGTTCTAGTTCTGTTCTAGTTCTGTTCTAGTTCTGTTCTAGTTGTGATTTAGTTCTGATTTAGTTCTGCTCTAGTTCTGTTCTAGTTCTGTTCTAGTTCTGTTCTAGTTCTGTTCTAGTTCTATTCTAGTTCTGTTCTAGTTCTGTTCTAGTTCTGTTCTAGTTCTATTCTAGTTCTGTTTTAGTTCTGTTCTAGTTCTGTTCTAGTTCTGTTCAAGTTCTGTTCTAGTTCGTGTTCTAGTTCTGTTCTAGTTCTGTTCTAGTTCTGTTCTAGTTCTGTTCTAGTTCTGTTCTAGTTCTGTTCTAGTTCTGTTCTAGTTCTGTTCTAGTTCTGTTCTAGTTCTGTTCTAGTTCTGTTCTAGTTCTGTTCTAGTTCTGTTCTAGTTCTGTTCTAGTTCTATTCTAGTTCTGTTCTAGTTCTGTTCTAGTTCTGTTCTAGTTCTGTTCTAGTTCTATTCTAGTTCTGTTTAGTTCTGTTCTAGTTCTGTTCTAGTTCTGTTCAAGTTCTGTTCTAGTTCTGTTCTAGTTCTGTTCTAGTTCTGTTCTAGTTCTGTTCTAGTTCTGTTCTAGTTCTGTTCTAGTTCTGTTCTAGTTCTGTTCTAGTTCTGTTCTAGTTCTGTTCTAGTTCTGTTCTAGTTCTGTTCTAGTTCTGTTCTAGTTCTGTTCTAGTTCTGTTCTAGTTCTGTTCTAGTTCTGTTCTAGTTTGTTCTAGTTCTGTTCTAGTTCTGTTCTAGTTCTGTTCTAGTTCTGTTCTAGTTCTGTTCTAGTTCTGTTCTAGTTCTGTTCTAGTTCTGTTCTAGTTCTGTTCTAGTTCTGTTCTAGTTCTGTTCTAGTTCTGTTCTAGTTCTGTTCTAGTTCTGTTCTAGTTCTGTTCTAGTTCTGTTCTAGTTCTGTTCTAGTTCTGTTCTAGTTCTTTTCTAGTTCTGTTCTAGTTCTGTTCTAGTTCTGTTCTAGTTCTGTTCTAGTTCTGTTCTAGTTCTGTTCTAGTTCTGTTCTAGTTCTGTTCTAGTTCTGTTCTAGTTCTGTTCTAGTTCTGTTCTAGTTCTGTTCTAGTTCTGTTCTAGTTCTGTTCTAGTTCTGTTCGAGTTCTGTTCTAGTTCTGTTCTAGTTCTGTTCTAGTTCTGTTCTAGTTTTGTTCTAGTTCTGTTCTGGTTCTAGTTCTGTTCTAGTTCTGTTCTAGTTCTGTTCTAGTTCTAGTTCTGTTCTAGTTCTAGTTCTGTTCTAGTTCTAGTTCTAGTTCTGTTCTAGTTCTGTTCTAGTTCTGTTATAGTTCTGTTCTAGTTCTGTTCTAGTTCTGTTCTAGTTCTGTTCTAGTTCTGTTCTAGTTCTGTTCTAGTTCTGTTCTAGTTCTGTTCTAGTTCTGTTCTAGTTCTGTTCTAGTTCTGTTCTAGTTCTGTTCTAGTTCTAGTTATGTTCTAGTTCTAGTTATGTTCTAGTTCTTTTCTAGTTCTGTTCTAGTTCTATTCTAGTTCTATTCTATTTCTGTTAGTTCTGTTCTAGTTCTGTTCTAGTTCTGTTCTAGTTCGTTCAGTTCTGTTCTAGTTCTGTTCTAGTTTTGTTCTAGTTCTGTCTAGTTCTTCTGTTGCTAGTTCTGTTCTAGTTCTGTTCTAGTTCTGTTCTAGTTCTGTTCTAGTTCTGTTCTAGTTCTGTTCTAGTTCTGTTCTAGTTCTGTTCTAGTTCTGTTCTAGTTCTGTTCTAGTTCTGTTCTAGTTCTGTTTAGTTCTGTTCTAGTTCTGTCTAGTTCTGTTCTAGTTCTGTTCTAGTTCTGTTCTGTTATGTCTAGTTCTGTTCTAGTTCTGTCTCTAGTTCTGTTCTAGTTCTGTTCTAGTTCTGTTCTAGTTCTGTTCTAGTTCTGTTCTAGTTCTTGTTGAAAAAATATCGAATATTAAGGATTTTGTACACTGATACTCTTTATATTCCTTCACATCTTCATTGCCTTTTACAAATTGCTTAGTATTTGTTAAAAAAATTCTGACCTTTCACCTTTTCTATTACCTTCTTCATTTTTTCTGACCATTGCCTAACCTTATTTTGTACATAGACAATCAGACATTCATTCAATCATTTATTTATGTATTCATCATCTAACCAATAATATTGATTGCCCTGATCTGATTTATGTTTTTTTTATTTTCCTGCCATTTTCTTTATGATTTTTTAATGGAACAAATGAAGAAGGAGAAAAACAAGGTACAGAAACAAAGCAAAAAACAAAATAAATGAAGGCAAAATATAGGTAGCAAAGGGAAAAATAGATAGAAAAAAGAATCATTAGACAGGAAGATACAACGACAAAGACATGTATCTAAAGAAAAAAAAAAGATAAAAGTAACTTAATTAAAACAGAATGCCAGTCATTATCGTTAAAGGCGAAGGGGGATTTACAACAATTTTGTTAAAGTCTGTTAAATTCTAAGAGGAAACAAAAATATTTAGAGGAAAGGACTTTAATACAGTGGACGTCCAATAGTACGTATACTCTTTATTACGAATATCCAATAATACGAATGGCAAAATTGTTGCATTGTCTACTCTATAGTACGAATAAAGTCACAATTTTTCTGTTCGATAGTACGAATAACGCATTTTTTTATGGGAATTTTGGTTTTATTTACGTATGAATGAAGTTTTTATTATGTTTTTATTTTATTATTTCGGTATCATTCACCTTAAGCTCAGTAATTTTGAAGTTTTTTTGTATTTATTACAAGTGTTTTGTATTTTTAAAAATCCTATACATACAATTTACTGCATGTATATTTACAAATCAACAATTATTTAGTGTTATTAATTTATTTTATTGGAATTTTGATGACCCAAGAGAAGAAATTAAATTGGATGATAACGCCAATGAGTTCCCGACAATAACTCTGCTGAGAACAATATTGAAGCCTCAAAAGCACTGTTATTGAAAAAGCCGTAAAAAATCATTTTACAATGTAATAAACATCGATGTTAAATGATGGATTTTTTAATAGTAAAATGATATTTATATACATATGTATGTATGAACTGTTAATTTTGAAAATAGTGTTGACTCCACATTCCAAACAATGGGTTTAAGGATAACTATTCTAATTTTTAAGAGAAAATTATAAATTAGAGAATTGTGGTATATTCCATTCAAGTTTCTAATAAAAGTTTTATGTAATCTGAACATTTTAATACATTTTAGAACACATATGTAAATTGCAAATTGTCTTTGGCACACATCTTTTTAAAACATTAAAATTTAAAACCTTCTACATATATCTCATTTCAACCATTGGACTCACGATACTTTCAAAATTAACAATTCATATACGTAAATATGTCCCTTTTTTGCCTGTTTATGTACAATAAATTTATTTAAAATAATACACATTTATTATATTTTGTTCCGTTATGTAATTTTTCATGAAAAATAAAAAAAAAATAAATAAAATCCAATATTTTTTGTGTATTATTTGAATTTAAACATACAAAATGTGTTGTTCAAT